ATCTTACTGTTTTGTATAAAATATGCTATTTTTTTGTCTGAATCTGGTTTTTGAATGTAGTTTGCATGTCTGTCACACTTACCAAAGATGTGGATACATTTAGTAGGCAATAGAGAGTGTATTCTTGCACATGTGTGTGACATGATAGGCACTGATCTGGCAGTGGTCTCCACACAAGCCGATCCTTATGCTTTTATAGATCCTTTGCAGGTCAAGGCCACAATTTGTGAAGTACTTAGGAAATCTTGATGAGAACTGTTAAAAGTAACTTATATGCAAGATGTGATGTTAGTAATTTCCCTTCATTATTTGGCCATTTTTCATAGTTTCTAGGGTCAGAAGAGACCTTGAACAGATCCCCTGGGACCAAGGGACCAAGTCCGAGCCCCTGGCCTCGGCAGGAATGAGTGCTAGGATCATAATACCCCAGGCCAAATATCTATCCAACCTCTTCTTGAGGTAGGGGAGAGCACCACCTCCCTTGGGAGCCAACTCCAGAACCTGGCAACCCTGAACGTAAAGTAATGCCTCCTGATATCAAGCCTGAACCTGCTCTAGGTCAATTTGTGGCTGTTATTCCTTGTTATCCCAGGTTGTGCCTGGGGGAACAGAGCTTCACCTATTTTCCACTGGTCCCCGCTGGTGAGCTTATAGATGGCCACCAGGTCACCTCTCAGTCTTCTCTTGTGGAAGCTGAATAGATTCAGGCCCTTTAGTCTATCTTTGTAGGGCCTGGCCTGCTGCCTCCTGACCATGCAAGTGGCCCTCCTCAAGGTTAGTCACATCTTGAAGTGTGGCACCCAGAATTGGATGCAGTACTCCAACTGTGGCCTGACCAGTGCCACATAGAGAGGACGGATCACCTCCCTGAACTTGCTTGTGATGCATCTGTAGATGCACGACAAGGTGCAGTTAGCCTTACTGACCGCTTCCTCACATTGATAGCTTAGTCCATCCTGGAGTCAACAATGACTCCAAGATCCCTTTCAGCCACTGTATTGTTGAGAAGGTTATTCCCCAGTTTATAAGTATGTTGCAGGTTCCTTCTCCCTAGATGCAGCACCTTGCACTTGTCTGCATTGAATTCCATTCTATTCTCATCTGCCTCCCTCTGTACCCTGTCTAGATCTAGTTGGATTCTGTCCCTCCCCTCCAGTGTGCCCACTTCTCCCCACATCCTTGTGCCATCAACAAATTTGGACAGCGTGCTTTCTACGCCCACTTCCAGGTCGCTGATAAAGATGTTGAATAGCACAGGCCTGAGGACCAAGCCCTGGGGAACTCCACTGCCCACAGCCCTCCAGGTCAAAAACTACCACTCTCTCTGGGTGCGACCATCAAGCCAATTTGCCACCCACCTAACTGTGTAGGCATCAATGCCACAGTCACCTAGTTTTTTTTTATTGGAATGGGGTGAGAAACAGTGTCAAAGGCCTTCTTGAAGTCCAGGTAGACGACATCCACCTCAATGCCTGCATCCAAGGACCTTGCGACCTGGTTGCAAAAGGAGACGAGGTTATTCAGGCAGGATCTGCCTGCAGTGAACCCACGTTGGTTGCCCCTGAGCATAACCTCCCATACTGGACCCCTGCAGATGTGTTCCTTGATAATTTTCTCAAAGGTCTTCCCAAGGACCGAGGTGAGACTAACTGGCCTATAGTTACCCAGGTCCTCCTTTCTCCCCTTGTAAATGGGGACCACACTGGCCCTTTTCCAGTCCTCTGGGACCTGGCCAGAGCACCATGAGTGCTCATACAGCTGTGCCAAGGGCCCTGCTATGAGCTCTGCCAATTCCCTCAGTACCTTCAGATGAAGAGCATCCAGACCTGCTGATTTATACACATCCAGCCCCTCCAAGAATTTCCTAACTAGATCATCCCTGACCCTAGGCTTGGTGTCGTGTCCTCTGAGCCTGTCCATAATCCTAGTGGGGGAGTTGTCTTGGTCCCTGCTCAGAAATATGGAGGCAAAGAACTCATTGAAGAGATCAGCTTTTTCCTTTGCTGCAATCACCAGATTGCCAAGCCTGTCCTGTAGGGGCCCCATATTACCTGGTGCCTTCTTACTCCCTATGTATTTGAAAAAGGCCTTTTTGTTATCTTTAATTCTGGTCACCAGCCCTAGTTCCATCTCTGCCTTGGCCTTCCTAACCGGCTCCCTGCAATCACAAGCAATGGAGGTGTAATCCTCCTTGGTGATAGCTCCTTGCTTCCACTGATTGTATGCCACCTTTTTTGCCCTCAGGCCCTCCTGGATGCCTTTACTGAGCCAAGGGGGCTTTTTAGCACTCTTGTCCCCTTTGGTTCGCATTGGAACTGACTCCCTCTGAGCTCGGTGGATCATTTCCGTAAAGAACAACCACCCGTCCTGGACTCCCATCTCATTGAAGCTCCGAGTCCCCAATGTCTCTCTTACTAATCTCCTTAGCTCATTGAAGTCGGCCCTCCTAAAGTCAAGGACTTTTGCCTTACTGCTTACTTTCACCACCCTGCGCTGGATAGTAAATTCCAGCAGACGATGGTCACTAATGCCTAGGTACTTGAGCACCTGCAGATCCCTCACCAAGTCATCGCCTGTGGCAAGCACCAAGTCCAGCAAGGCATTTCCTCTGGTGGGATTATGTACCTCCTGGGTTAGGTGGAAGTCTTGTATGCAGGCTAAAAACCTACGTGAGCTTTCAGACCTGGCTAACTGATCCTCCCAGCAGGTATCTGGGTAGTTTAGGTCACCCATGATAACTACGTCCCTTGTCCTTACAGCCTCTGTGAGCTGACCTGAAAATTCCAGGTCCAGCTCATCCCCCTGGTGAGGCAGTCTGTAGTAGACACCCACTATCAAGTCCCTTTCCCCATGACCCCTTTGCATGCTAACCCAGAGTGCCTCAGTTTGCCCCTCTTCTGAACCTGTCCTAATCATTGAGGACATGTACTGCTCTTTAACATAGAGCACTACACCCCCCACCCTTTTCTCCCTCCTCTGTCTCATCTATGCAACTTATAGCCCTCAATGTCTACTGTCCAGTCGTGGGTAGAATCCCACCAGGTTTCAGTAAGCCCAGCCCGGTCTGGGTTTTTGCGAGCTAGCAGGAGGGCAAGTTCCTCCTCCTTATTCCCCATACTTCTAGCATTTGTGTAGAGGCAATTGAGATCTCCTATGGGTGTTCATGCTGCCCTCTTGTTCCCAAGCTTGCCCGGGCCCTTGTCGCTTACCTGGTTTGTTCCTTTTCACATCACCTGGCTTGATGTCGAAGTGCCCTCCTGTACCTCTCTATCCCCATCTCCTGATGAACCTAGTTTAAAGCTCGCCATATGATATCAGCCAACCTGGAAGAGAAAACACGCTTACCTTTCAGGGAGAGATGTAGCCTGTCCCACCCTAGCATGTCTCCTGTGCAGAAGTCCAGATCGTGGTCGAAGAATCCGAAGCCTGCCCAGTAATATCAGCTCCGAAGCTGCTGGTTGACCTCTCTGATGCAGGCCTCATGGCGCTGTCCACATCTGCTCACTGGAAGAACAGATGAGAAAACCACCTGTGCTCCCGTCTCCTTAAGCTTGGCCCCCAGAGCCTTGTAGTCTCTCATGACGCGGTCCGGACTACTCCTGGCCATGTCATCAGTGCCCACATGGATAAGGACCAAGGGGTAGTGATCAGAGGGCCGGATGAGGTCCAGGATCATCACCATGATGTCCCGAATCCGAGCTCCGGGCAGGCAGCAAACCTCATGTGCCATGGGATCTGGGTGACAGATGGGTCCCTCTGTTCCTCTCAGGAGGGAGTCGCCCATGACAAGGACCCAGCATCTCTTCCTCTGAGTGTTCAGGCATCGCTTAGTCTGCGCCATGTGTGGAGAGTCATCGGCTCCTCTGGAGTCATCCTCACCTGCCTCCTCCTCCAACGCTGCCAGGGCCTTGTACCTGTTCTCCAGTTGTACTGGGGGGACCAACGCCCTGGCCCTGGTTGTAACTGTCTGCCATATCACTGCATCGAGTTCCTTCCGGGGTGCCTCTCCACTAGGTACTTGACCCTGCAGAGAATGGAAACACCCATGAATTTCGTCCTCGGCAGCCCTGACTCTGGTGTAAATTGGGGACAGTCCTGCTATTTTTCTTTTAATTTAATAAAATAGGAAATTTGTAAAACAAAGAAACAAAAATTATAAATGTCCTTGCAAGTGTCCGTTAGCTGTATGGGATTTATTTTACTCTGCACCTCACAATTCTATTCAGAAGGCCAATTTCTTATTAGCCTTAATGCTGTTCTTACATTAGAAAACTCACTGCAGGTCATTTCAGAAGGGAAAACTATAACCTATAAAATGTGATTAACCTGTTGTAAAGAAGTCCAATAATCTCAACAGTGTTATACTATTTAGGTTAGATATAAAGTTACCAGTATTGCCAAATCATTTGTACTCTCTTGTGCTGTTAACTTTATTATCGGTTTGATCAATATTACACAGCTGGGACGTTCTTCCACTATATACATGAACACAATTATATTTTCCCAGCTATATTGTAATCAAGTTATTTACTTTCAGAAGTCTGTAGCTTTACTTGGTTTCTTTTGTTGCTTGCCAAATTAAATTTTTTTTTTAAACGTGAGGTGGGAGAGTTAATAACTTAGCACGTTTTGAAAATGAGCATGTTTACCTGAAGCTCTTAAGACAGAAACTGAACTAGCACTGAAACTTGTACTTCAGTACAGTGTATTGGTTTAATGAAGTAACCTATGTTTGAAAATAACATATGGAAACCCTTTCTAATTTAAATGCAGGTCTTGTGCTTTCTCTAATGCTGTTAACCATTTACAATAACCATTGGAATACATAGACCTTTGCTATGCCTTTTAATTATTAAGTGCTATTGTTGAATTATTACGTAATGTTTTGTGTGAATATTAGAAGCTAGCTATTGTGATTCATTCTATAATTACTTTGGATGCATGCTGTTTATCATTTATGTGCATGTGGTGTTGATGATTTATTTTACTTATCTTTAAAGGCTATGGTTAAGAGTTTTATGAATGTCTACCAACTTGCAAGCTCCAGAGTCGCTACACTAGAGAGAGAAATAGCATCTCATCGACATCACATTACAGTTCTGAAATCAGAGCTCCAAACAGCTTGTCTTCGTGAACATGAAAGCTTACAATCAGTAAGTTTGCTTTCATATTTTAATTTGTTTGTATAATTTGGATATTTAAGTTACTAGGATATATATACACTTACGTTGCTGAGTGCCAATATGAATGTATGGTCATATTTCATTGTAAATTTACATCATAGTTTAATACAGCAATAAAAAAGCACTATTATGATGCTTGATGTGCACTGATAGAGTAGGTGGAAAGCAAAGGAATAATTTTTATCATCATATCTTATATAAAGATTTGTGTGGTGTTGCCAAAGCAAAAAATGTAGTGTCATGATTTCTTTGTCTTTGGCAGTGCAGCTGACAGTTGGATTTTGGACCTGAAGCATGCAACTGTCTAAAGATAGCGTCCCATTAAGCCAGAATGTTATTAATTATGCGTATAACCAAAATGGTAATTAGAACATGTGATTATTCTCTGTAGGCAACTACTCTAATTCATAATACATATCTAGCTGGAGAAATTTATTGTGATTTAGTTGAAAGATTAACATCCAGTTTCAAGAATCATTTTATGTCTAAAATGGTTGTTCACAAAGATATTTGGACTCATTTAAAGCTAATAAGGTGATTCACCAGATCTGAGAACTGTCTCTAGGGGAATTATTGAATGCAGATGCATTTGTGTCACGCAGGCATTAGGCAGACAAATAAACTGTCATAGTTTATTTGTCTGGAATGAGATTTGTTGGGTGTATAAATTGTATAGGATTAATAATTTTTTTAAATTTCTCTTTCTTCATCCCTTGTTGGAATAAGGGATAAGGTCATTGTTATCTTCCCCCCCCCCCC